TTTATTAATAAAGTAATTGAAATAACCGATAATTTTTTTAAAAACAATAATACTATTATAAATAGTATGATGAGAGTTAATTTGCAAAAAAATTATTATGATGAATACATAACTAATAATTATGAAATTAATTTTGTTGATTTTGTTAGTGAAAAGTTAAATAATTACTGCTTAAATATCATTGGTAACTATTATTTTAATATTGGATTCAATCAGTTACTTAACCCTTCCACAGCCGAGTAAGTTATATTTTTTAATAAAAATATAGTTGTCTCCTAAAAAATTATATTTTAATAAACTAATATTTTTAAGTAATTTAATATTAGCATAGTTTAAACTTAGATATTCTTGATTAGTAGTTTTTTTATTTAAAAGTGTAATATATGAATAAATATATTCATAAAATATAGACTGAGATTTATATTTAATAATAATTTAGAATTGTAATTTTTTCAGAGAATTTATAAAAAATTATAAAGTAGTTCTTACATTTACAGGCACGTAGACAAGGGTGAGCCTGGCCCCCCCTAGATTTAATGTGGCCCATGGCTGACCCCCCCANCGGGCTTGACAATAATTTTTTAGATAATAATTTGTTGTTAATTATAAATAAATGGACGATAAAAATATTCATCAGAGTCAAAAATATATAATATATTATATATACAATAATAATATACAATAATAACCTTTCGGTAATGTTTTTAAGTGTATATATAATAATTATTTTGTTTTATTTTAGGCTGAAACCTCCTCAACACACCGACTTTCCTCAAGAGAGTGCAATTCAAATACTAAATACTTTGTTCCGTGAAGGTAATTGGAAGTTATTGAATCATATAAGCATAATAAGTCATGATGAAATAATCACTACTGAGCGAATTATTAGAGATCCTGTAGATAAGTTTAATTTTAATCTAAAAAAAAAACATTTTATACAACTGATTAGATGTAGATATACTGAAGTATTAAAGATTTATAACACGTATATATCTGCTATAATACAAATATGCAGAAATGAATTAAATGAATTAAATGATACGAATCTAGATGGTATAATAGACTATATTAATCGATTTTTTAATGCGGTTAAAGATTCAAAAGAAATGTTTACATATATGTTGTTAGCTTTAGATAAATTAAAAGCTACATCAATCTGGGAAGTGATGTATAATTCACATGCATGTTTGTCACAAACCTATGATTTATTAAGTAATTTATTTCCGAAAATTGAACAGCTTAATTTAACGCAATCTGATTTTTTGAATCTGTCAACCGATGATATAAAATTAAAAGCCAATAACTTTTTATTTGATTTTCAAAGTGCACGAAAACNAGATTTAAAATTAAAAGCCAATAACTTTTTATTTGATTTTCAAAGTGCACGAAAACAGTTTGACTCAACATTTACCGAAGGAAAAGTTCATTTCAGAAAACGTTGCCTGTTTAAAGAAGATTTTTTAAATAAAAATCAATTATTACAATCATGGAAAGATATAGTTTTGTTCTCTATAACTTATAAAATCACCAAAAGTCAAAAAGTTTTAAATGAATACTCTTTAAATGAATTTATAAATTATTATAAAAATGCTATTACAAGTGAATATTCATGTCTAGGGTTCAATAAAATAAATAGTAGTAATTAATGAAAGTCTTGTATTTTTATTTTAAATAAATTAATGTGATAAAACTTTTACTATTTCTGTAATTGATCAGTTACAATGTTTCTGAAGTAATTATATTATTATACTCTTAATATTAATGAAGAAAATTAATTTAGTAAACTTAATTGATCAGGAATCATTCTAAAAATTGTATTAGTATGCTTTTACTAAAACAAAACTTTTTAATAAATTATTTATTAATTTTATTTTTTTAATAATTTTTAAATTATACCTTTATATACTTCTATAAATCATATAATATATTACATAAATTTTCATTCAATTATATATCCAATAAATTTTTATCTTTATGTGTTAAGAATTATCTCACACGAGTAGATTTATAAATATATTTTGTCATAAATGTGCCGAGTTCATAACGTATTTTTCTAATGTAAAATTTTGTAGACATTATATATATTATTAGTGCAAATTATTAATTATTTCACCTGTTTAAACGTTATATAAAATACAAATACTAGAGACAGCAACAACTTTTTATACAAGTAAATATTCTTCTGTTTATTAAAATCAGTGCGATATGGTAATTTTTAAAAACTTGAGTAGGCTAAAATAAGGAAAGCTGGAATCATCCTGTTTTACCCCCGCACTATCATAATAAAGTTCTACATACAATTGTTGTTACCCAACACGCCCCATCACCACCTTGTCGGAGAATGAGTGGTAAATCTAAATGTACAATAACCTAATGCAATAAGTGGGAAACGATGAAATTTTTTTTTTCACCTTAAGCATTTTTGTGTGTTATAATACATTGACCTCTCATTACAACTCTTATCTAGACAGTAAACTATGATAACTATTGTCAAGTAAAAATTGTCATACTGTCACATGTGGGCAATATAATCAATATTATCTATTAAGCAATAAACTAAATTAATTTAAAATTTTCATGTAAATAATAAAATACACATAAATATTAACATAAATTGTCACTGATATGTCAATTTTGTAATGAAATAATTAATCATTGTCCAGAATAGTATATTAGTTTTTAAGATAACATGTATTAAATAATTTAATAAAGAGATAACAATAGCGTTTCTGACACTTCTTGCATATGAATATAGTTATAAAAATTAACAAAACAGCAGTATAAAAGGGGACAAAAAAGGCCTAAAAATGGGCAGTGTACTCTCGGCATGCTCTCAGTGTCTTGTCAGTATACTTCCATGGCTCATTCTTCATTGATCCAGGCGTGCTCCCAGTATTGACGCAGCTCATTAATCTCAATCGTTTAATTCATGTGTAAGAAGTGAACAGACACGTTCAGATTTATTTAAAGTAAACGAGACAACTTAATTCATTCTCTAGACATCCTCCGGAAACATCAAGGTAAATACTAATTAATTAAATTAATAAGGTTTAAAAATATTACATTTTTTTAAGTATATGGTTAACATAAGAACAAAGAAAGATTGAGTGATCACTAAAAAAATCACTCTGTCTTTCTATTACCTTTTCACTATTCTTATAAACCCTCGAACTCTTACCCGAGAAACTTTTATTATTAAATTAAATAGTAACTCCTTTTTCCACTAATATATAGAAGAAATATAATTTTATTATATTTCTTTTATTTTTGAGTTACTATATGTGGTCCCAGAAGGTATTCAACGCGGTTGTGCGCGTGCGGGATCGGAACATTGCTCTCGGCCCCGACGTGATTCCGACCAAGTGTGGGGGTTGGTAAACGACTTCGCCCCGGATGGGATACGCGCCGTCGCATACCGGTGCCTCTTAGTTGCGCTGCGCTACAGTTATTATAGCAGATAACTAAGTTAAATATAGTCACAAAAATAACCATATAGCAAAATAATTTTAATATGAATAAGAAATTTCTTCAAACCAGGGAAGGCTACAATGACGGGGTTCTTGATCTTTTTTGAAGTTATTGATCTAACTAAATAAAAATTAAATGAGTTGAAAATATTTTTCAAACTCAAAATGGATTTTAAAAAAATGTAAAATATTCTTAGGCAAAAGCGAGTTTGATCATCGTACACCAAGCGCGTAAGACACAAGTGTTACCAATTCAACAGCTGTACGTAACATAAAATAAAAGGCAATTTAAGCTAGTTCAAATTTCAAAGTTATTTTCTTGACTTAAAAGAAACAAAAAATTGAGCCGGATTTCATCGATGAACTATATACGAAGAAGTATTAACAATTTTGAAGATACGTTATTTCATTTTCTGGAGGATTACCGAGTTTGTGGTGGAGCTGGATTTCGTTGATAATGGATTGAAGTAAGAAACTATTTGTATTTAATCTCTAGTAGATATTAAAATATATTTAAAATATGGACTTCATACATCTACAAAAGTATTTTCTAAATTATGTAATTTTTATGTTACATTTTAAGTCATAATAATGATTTATAAACAATATTAAAATAGAAAAACATAAAATATTATGTTTTTATACAAAACTAAAAAATCTCAAGATAAAAAAATGTAGAAGAAGTTATACTTAATTTTAAGTAACTACTAAAATACTTTATTTTTATCTAATTAAAAATAAATGAAGTTAGAACTTATACTTACCACAGAAACTATGCTATTGTTTGGTGGCTATAAAAAAGCTAAAAACTGTTGAAGAGACATGAGGGATTGAAATATTGGAAGATTTGATTTAGTTTGTTGAGTGATATATTCTTAAGGTTCACAACAAAGAGATTGAAGAAATGACTATGGTCACACCCTCAGGCGAGACAGTGAGGCCTACTATCATGGAGAGGGTGCTGATCGCTTCTAGGGGAGATACAGCAATAGTTCGATAACTAGAGTTATTGGTGAAGTGGCCGAACTGGGGGATGACAATTCCCTCCGTCCTAAAAAGGAAGGAGATTTCCACAACTCACGACCCCCAATAACTCACAAAACTAAACATAAAACACAAAAATAAAAACCTAAAATGAACAATAGTCATTTTCACCATGAAGTCCAGAGGTCAAATTTTTTTTTTAATTATAGTATATTCATAAGGTTTAATTTAAGATATATAGAAAAGTGTCAGTGTTTCTGGAACATTTTCAAAAGTTAGGCTGAAAAAGTTAATTTTTTGCGAAAAAGTTGCCATTTTGAAACCCTTCCCGTAGGTAAGGGGTCAAATGTTCACAAAAATATATCTAAAGATAGGTAAATACCTAAGGTATCTATAAAAAATATATATATATTGATTCGGCATTTTTAAAAAAGACTGCATCCCTAACATCAACTTTCATGTAGGGTGGAACCCATAGATAATTTTTCTACGTTATTCCAACTACTTTTTACGACATATAATTATTGGTCATGTCGAATGTACACAGACTAATATCATCGTGTATATAATACCAAATTAAAGTAATCACTTAAAACTCTTCACTTGACTAACCCTTGCCATTCCTGTGAGTAAGTCAATAACAATGTTTGTATTACATAATAAATATTAATAGAAAAAAATTACTTGGTTTATAGCTATATCACATGTATCATTAAAAAAGGGTAAATGAAAAAGAAAAAATAATAAGTTGCGATTCGACGAAATGATAGAACTAATCAGTAGTTTATTAAGAGTTTTAGCTCCCCCGGACAGTTTGTATTTTATACTGTTCTAAAATTGTTTGCAAAAAAAAAATTTTTTTTAGCTCGCCTCGAGAAAATGTCTAGCTTAAAAAACTTAGAATATAAATAAATGCAAGAACATTTATAAATTTCACGAAAATTAAAATTGATATAGCTTTTAAATTAACTTAATTATGCTGAACATTTAAAGAAAAAAAACGGTAGCACAGTGGGGTCGAGGCACAGTGTAGACAAGGCATAGATGGATCAAGTATAATGATATCTGACAGTGATTAAAATCACTATCAAAAAAAAACGCTTCGATGCAAATCTGTAGATAGTGTTTCATTTAGAGAAATTGGTGAATTATTCCAAAAGCAACATCAACTCTTATTTCTTTGATTATATCCTAATTAGTAGTTCTTTGATTTTAAAATATAATATATGAATAAATATTAATTATAATTATTAAATTTAGTATGAAATTAATATTTAATATTGTAATTTAAACAGAGAAATTATAAAAATAATAAAGAAGTTGTATTTTGCTTTATTTTATGTGTATAAAAATTTAAAGGGCTTGATACAATAAATTTCAATAAAAACTGTTTGTTACTATAAATAAATGCACTGAACTACAAGGAACTTTCATCAGTAACAAAAATATACCATTCTAAAACAACTTTTCGCGATTTTTTCAATTCTGCAATTAAACTTTTTCTATCACTTCTAAGTTTTAATATTATTAAAAATTAGTATTTACATATAAAAAATTCGCATCGAAACTAAAAAATTGGCTATTTAAGCTAACTCAAATTTAAAAATTACTTTTACGACTTTAAAAAAGTAAAAAATATTTAATAAGTTTAATTTCTCATGTCTTATGAACTTTATTCTATGTCAATTAAATTATATAATATTCATGAAAGTCAATATATTCTCCTAATAAGATATTTTAAAATAAAATAAAATACAAAACCTAGAATTTTAATAGAAAAATAGCATATTTTTGAATACGGTAGCCATTTGCGCATAGAAGATAGGTCGTCGGGACAAATTCTTTTTTTCATTTTATAGTACATAAAATAAGCTTTAATTTGATATATGTTTAAAGGATGTAGTATTTCCGGAACATTTTCAAAAATTAAGTTGAAATAAAGTTAGTTTTTGTAAAAAAGTTGCTATTTTAAATCCCCTTTGTGAGCAGAATAAGTGTTAGATTTTCAAAAAAAATGATATCAAACGAAAGGAAATTACCTAAGGTTTTACTATAAAAAAATATTATTTTGATTTGTTAATATTTGAAAAAGTTATGACAGTTTTAAGTACAAAAAACTTCCTTATAGAAGGTGATTTTTATCGCAAATATTACATTTTTTTTTTAATTTCGAAAGCAATTTGCACATAGTAGATAAGGTGTCGGGATAAATTTTTTTTTTTATTTTATAGTACATAAAATAAGCTTTAATTTTATATATGTTTAAAGGACACAGTATTTCCGGAACACTTTCAAAAGTTAAGTTGAAAAAGTTCTATTTTTTATACAAAGTTTCAAGTTTTGAACGCCCCCTATATATGGGGAAATTGTCCAATTTTAATAAAAAGTATGTCAAATGAAAGATGTACTTATAATGTATTTAGAAAAAAAAAAATAATTTGTGCTGATAATTACATTTTTTGAAAAGTTATAGCATTTTTAAGTTGAAATTTTAAAATCAAAAATTTTAACACAAAAATAGCGTTTTTTTAACTACGGCAGCCGTTTACATGCAGAAGATAAAGTGTCGGGACAAATTTTTTTTTTCATTTTGTAGTACATAAAATAAGCTTTAATTTGATATATGTTTAAAGGACGCAGTATTTCCGGAACATTTTCAAAAATTAAGTTGAAAAAGTTAGTTTTTGTAAAAAAGTTGCTATTTTAAATCCTGCCCAATGAGCAGGTTAAGTGTTAGATTTTCAAAAAAATTTTTGGAAGATTTTCCACGTTTACGGGGAACGAGGGAATTTTTTTCAATTTTTGAGAGTTATGTCTTTGACTAGATACGATTTGTGATCTTTTGACGTATTGTTCACAAAATCGGTCCAGCGAGAGCGGAGATTGAGCGTTCATACATACAAAAAAAAATTTTAAAAAAACACATCATAGTAAAATTAATACCCTCTCAGCTTCTCATCGAAGCTAAAAATAAAATAAGTTTAATACTGTAAAAGTAAATTATAAAAAATTTAAGTGTTGAACTTTATTTATTATTTTTAAACGTTATTATTATATAAATAATTTTACAAGTGTTAACAAAACTATATATAGAAAATTATACATATCTATTTCATATATGACTTTGTTATAAATATGATTGTAACGTTAAAAACTATTTGATCTATCATTTTAAAACTTTTAAAAATTGATAAACTTTAATTTCATATTAATTTTTAAAATGAATATTAAATTGTTAACCTTAATATTTCTTTCTGTGAGTATTTTTCTTGAAGTAAAAGTTGTTGATTGTAGAAAAGAAATAAATGAGTATGCAGCATATTTAAAACAAGTAATGAATCACATGTGTTATAACTTATCACATTTTAAACTGGAATACTTGTCACTAAGAAATGAAAAAAATGATATTGTAAGGATAAATGATATTCTAAATCAAAAAGTTAGTAATGTTGATAAATTAATAATAACATACTATTATATAGTTGATTTAATCAACTATTTATTTATTGAAGTACTACAATTATTTACTGAACACTTAAAAATCATTATAGACGTTTGTGAAAAATTGTATGAAAATAATTTATTTGAAAATGCAACTTATTGCACCATAGTACTTTTAAATACTGCCAAAAATTCAAATTTGATGTTTGATTATTTATACAAAGCTATTACATTTATTGATTACTTAGATATAAATTCAGTGTGTGTAAAATCAATAGTACGTTCAAAAACGGTTGTAAATGAAATTTATACCGTTAAAAATTATACGTCTTCAATGAAATCGACAGAAATGCTGAATTATATAAATAATGATAAAAGCATCAACATTTTAGTAGCTAAAGAAGACTACAAAGAAATATATAATTTTGTTAATAAAGTAGTTGATACCACAGATAATTTTTTTAAAAACAATTTTAATGTTATAAACAATACAATAAAAATTAATTTACAAGAAAATTACTTTAATGAATACAAAACTACTAGGTGTAAAATTAATTTTGTCAATTTTATTAGTGAAAAATTAAATGTTTACTGTTTAACAACCATTGATAAATATTATTTTAATATTGGATTCCATCAGTTCATTAACCCTAATATAACCGGGTAAGTTTTATTTTTAATAAAAATATTGTTGTCTCCGTATAATAACTATATTCTAATAAAATTATATTTTTTAGTAATTAATTATCAGCTCAGAATACATGAATTAACGGAATTTGACTTGTATAGTAGGGTAATCCTTATTTGACTGAATTTCAAAATACGAAGGGGGGTATCTCGCATTTTGTTTTATATGGTGAATACAAAATTTTGAGTGTTCTAGGTCAATCCATTTAATGTTTTACAGCGTGGAATATGGAATATCATACTTATCTAGTAAAATAACATTGGTTTTTAAAAAAATTAAGTGTTTTTTTAATTGTATGCTTAAATATTAGTATTACAAAAAAATAAAATCCAAAAATGAAAAAAATTCATTTTTTTTTTCATGAAAATTATAAAGTAATAATTTTTTTTAGTTTTATATTTAACAGCCAGGTAATAATATACAAAAATATATGCAATGGCTTTATTTTCTCAACATGATTCTTTCAAGATTGAATCCATACATCTTTCCTCTATCTTTAATATTCAAAATAATACACGCAAAAAACTATAATTTACCCCTATTCATCAATTTTCAACTTAAAAAATGTAAGAAAATGTTTTATTTGTCTTATAGCACAAAATTTATTTAATTTAAATAACAAACTATATTACAATAATGATTTTTTTGTAAGATTTTTTATAGGCTTAATGATAACTATTATTGTTTTATTTTAGGCTCACACCTCCTCAGAACATCGAATTCCTTCAAGATAAAGCAATTGAAGTACTAAATACTTTGTTCCGTGAAGGAAATTGGAAGTTATTGGACCATATAAGCATAATAAATTATGATGATATAATCACTACCAATCGAATTATTAGAGACCCTGTAAATAATAGTAATTTTAATATAAAAAAAAAATATTTTACTCATCTGTTGAGATGCAGATACACTGAAGTATTGAAAAATTATAATACGTATATATCTGCTATAATACAAACATGCAGAAATCAAATAAATTCTAACAATATAGATGGTATTAAAGATTGTACAATTCGATTTATTGATGCGGTTAAAGATTCAAAAAATATGTTTAAATATATGTTGTCAGCTTTAAATAAATTAAAAGCTGTATTTATTTGGGATTCGAACTATAAATCAAATTCGTCATTAATAACAATCTATGATATATTAAGTAAATTTTTTCATAAAATTGAAAATTTTTTAAATTTAACGCCATCAGATTTTTTGAATGTTTCAAACGATGATATAAAATTGAAAGCCAATGTTTTTTTTTTTGATTTTCAAAGAGAACGAAAACTTTTTAATCAAATGATAACTACCGGAAATGAATATATGAAACAATATTGTTCCATTAAAGGTGGTGTTATAGACAAAAATCAATTATTAAAATCATGGAATGAAATAGTAATGTCATCTAATACTGGTAATACTACAGATAGTCGAAAATTTTTATATGAATACTCTTTAAATGAATTTATAATGTTTTATAAAAATGCTATTACAAGTGAATACTCTTGTTTAGGGTTTAATAAAATAACTTTCAGTAATTAATTATTGTCTTGTATTATGATTTTATTTTAATTAAATAAATATGAAAAAACTTTTACTATTACTGTAATTGTTCAATTAGATTATTTCTGAAGTAATATTCATATAATATTCTTAACAATAATGAAGACAATATAGCAAATTTAATTGGTCACAAATTATTCAAAATTGTATTAGTATGCTTTTATTGAAGCAGAACTTTATAATATTCTTTTATATTTTTTTCATATGAGCTACGATGCGAAGCTGAGAAAGTATTCATTTTACCATGATTAGGTTGGGTTTGTCACTAATTTTTCTAAACGATACGTTAGAAGATCACAAATCGTATTTGGTTGAAAACATTACCCCCAAAAATTGTACATTTTTACCTCATTCTCCATAAATGTTGGAAATCCCTCAAAAAATTACGATTTTTTTCACTTTTTTTTCTAAAAATTGTCATAACTTTTTGAAAAATTAATCAACCAAAATAATTTTTTTTAAATAAACACCGTAGGTATTTTCTTTTCATTTGTTATACATTTTATGATAATCTGAATTGACAAAAGTCAACTTTTTTAACTCAACTTTTGAAAATATTCCGGAAATACTGTGTTCATTAACCAAATGTCAAGTTAAAGCTTATGTTACGAACTATAAATTTTAAAAAAAATATGTCCCGACGACCTATTTTTTTTATGCAAACGGCTGCCGTAGTTAAAAAAATGCTATTTTTGTGTTCAAATTTTATTATTTTTTCGTTTATTTTATAATACTTTATAAGTGTTTGCCATGGTAATGAGCCCACCAAAAAAAATAACATTTTAATGAATCAAACTTACATTAAATATAAACGTATACTAATTTTGATAATTTTGCCTCTTTAAAGTTAAGAAAAACTTTTTTCAATTTTTAAAAATTTGAAAATTTGTATAAAAAGTACAATTTTTTTTTGTATTGTGTTATCATTTTTTTAAATATAACTTTATATGTTAAGTTTTATAATACATTGCATAAAATTTCATTAAATTATATTTAATATAAATAAATAATTTCATGTCTTTATAAATATAATTTCTCTCATACGAGTAGTTTTATTTTATTTATTTTAAACGTTTACAATTTAGCATACATTTTTGAGAATTACAAGTCTCGAATAGAAAGTGGTTTTGTTATATCTTTAATAAAAATATGTAATTACTCAATATCGATTAAAATATATATTCAATCAATAAAATTTCAACTAGAGAAAATTGTTTTTAAACTTAAAATAGTATTCTTACTGAATAAAATATAACATGAATGCATAAATTAATTTTAGCTCAATAATTCTGTAACGTGTTAAAAACATGTAAAAAATACTTTTTATTCTTCATATTTACTTTAGCTATTGCCATAAATTAAATTTTATTTATTTATTCATACTCATTCTTTGTGCTGTTAAATTACAATATTATATTTTTTTGCAAAAAACAATAAAAGTTCGATTAAAATTTTTATTGTTAGATTATTTTAAAATATTGCTATAAAAAGTTTGAAAACATTACTACATTTTTTTTTAAATCCTAAATATTATCTTGTCCTAAGCGTCAATTGTCCTGCACTCTTCTAATAATTACCTCAAAATTTAGATGCTATAGAAAGAATTTGAAGCAGATTCGAAATGAGTGTCGAAATTCCTAGTAAAATTCACTGAAATAATGTAAACATAGAATGACTTCTGTTCTATATTATTATACACGCGAATCAGTCTTCTCATATCAACAATTTAACTACTATCCTCCGAAATTCCTAAAAGTTGCTTAGTAAACTTTTTAGTAAAATTTTTTCAAAAATTAATTTACATACATAGTTATGTAAATGGATAGTTCAAATTTTATAACTTTTGATTCAATGTGTATTAAATTTATTTAAATGTGTAATAAACCGAAAACAAATTCAATATGAATAAGAAAGACCAAACTAAAATGTAGTGCCTTTAAATTTAAGGAGGTAGGTAACCTAATATACGCATGTTTTGGCAGACGTGATTGACTGACGCGCAGAATACCTCATAGAAAACTTAATAATTTATACTACGGAATGAGTTGAGAATCAAAGGGAAAGTTTTTATTTATGTACAAAGGAATAAGAAAACATAATTTACTTAATTCCAGGATCGCTTATGATCGATGTGGTTTAATGCAATGACCAGAAAACAAATATTTAAAAACTAAATATTCAACACACAACTCAACAACTACATTGAAAATTAAGATTAAAGAGATGAACGATTACTATATTCCACTATGAATCTTGAAGATTTTGCAGTCACGCAACAAACTATGGTGGACTTACGCAATTCGGCCGAATATAGTTTGCATGTCACAAATGTCGTAAATAATTTACGATTGTCAATTATTGACAGCAACTCACAAGTTTATAATAATACTGTAAAATCTGACCAGGAGAAATTGTGAACGTGAAGAATACGTAGCAATGGGATTTACACGATGAACAACATGACATTTTATTTGTTTAAAAAATGTAATAATCTTATAAACTACTTAATATCAACTGAAGTTAAGTACATGTAATTCAAAACAATAACGAATATATTAAGTTCAGATAAAAACTGTTCATAATAATATTTCAATAGTAAAATTGTTGCTAGCCGACAAACAAAAAAAATATTAAAATAAACCAACTAATACAACAGTTGATATATATAAAAGTGTCAGACCTTCCGGAACATTTTCAAAAGTTATGTTGAAAAAGTAAATTTGTTGTGAAAAAGTTGTCATTTTAAATCCCCCCCTGTGGGCAGGTTAAGTGTCAGATTTACAAAAAAAATATACCAAATGATAGGTAAAGACATCAAGCATCTATATAAAAAAAAATTATATTGATATGTTCATTTTTGAAAAAGTTAGAGCATTATTAAGTTAAAAATATAAAAAAAAATTATTTTACAAAAATCGTAATTTTTTATTAACTTTGATGTCAACTTTCACCACGAAGACAAGTCCAGAGGTCAAATTTTTTTTTTTCAAATTAAAGTATATTACATTAGCTTTAATTTAAGATATATATAAAAGTGTCAGACCTTCCGGAACATTTTCAAAAGTTAAGTTGAAAAAGTTAATTTTTTGTGAAAAAGTTGTCATTTTAAATCCCCCCCTGTGGGCAGGTTAAGTGTCAGATTTACAAAAAAAATATACCAAATGATAGGTAAAGACATCAAGCATCTATATAAAAAAAAATTATATTGATATGTTCATTTTTGAAAAAGTTACGGCAGTTTTTAGTAAAAAAAATTGAAAAAATTTCGAAAATTAGCGATTTTTAAATTTGTAATTTTTTTGGAGGTTTCCCCCATTTACGGGGAACGAGGGAAATTTTTTCAATTTTGAAGGGTAATGTCTTCGACTAGATACGATTTGTGATCTTTTGACGTATCGTTGAAAGAAATCCGTTCGGTGAGAGCTGAGAAAAAGTGGTAACAGACACAAAAAAAAAAACAAAAAATAAACACATCTTAGTAAAACCAATACCTTCTCAGCTTCGCATCGAAGCTAATAAAAGGGAAAAAACTAGAGGTCTTGAAAAAAAAGGCTCGGTGATGCGATCGATTTATAATTACTCGACAATAATATTAGCTTTTTACAATTATAATCAATTGTTAAAATAACACCGAATTGACTTCCTTCAAAGGTAAAATGATATTAATCATAAGTAAAAATACTTGCTTAGTAAAAAAGAATAACTTTGTATTGCATGAAATATCGTGTTATCAAAATTGGTATTACAAAAACGGTAGCACAGTGGGGTAGTGGCATAGTTTAGACAACTATAGATGATATCTGACAGTGATTAAAATCACTATCATAAGAAACGCTTCGATGCAAATCTATAGATAGTGTTTAATTTAAAAAAATTGGTAGATTATTCTAAAAGCAAAATTAACTCCTATTTTTTGATCAACTTCGACTACCATTTGCACATAGCAGATAGTCAGGACAATTTTTTTTTGTATAGTACGTAACATAAGCTTTAATTGAATCGATCATTTCAAAAACAACATAAGTCATCAATTTTTCAGTAATAACTTTTTGTCAAATTTGATAATTATATACCTGGTTACGTATTCTGTGTAAAAACTACATTTGCCAGACTCATATTTAATTCAAAATTTACTACAAGAAACTAGAATCACTGCAAAAACTACACAAGTCAATGACTTGTGTAGTTTTTTCTGTCATTTACAGATCGCACTTTTTGATTTTATGCAAAACTTACCCCTACCAATCATACTAGTACAAGACATTTTTTATTTTAGACAATTATGGGTGAATTGTTTTGGGATTAAAAATTTGAAAACTGAAGAATCTACATTTTACATGTACCATGAGGGTGAAGCTGGCAAGGAATCCAACGATGTGTGCTCTATGTTACTGAATTATATAAAAATAATACCGTTATACGATTTTTGCTAGCATTGATAGATAGTCAACGATTTGAAAGGATTTACCACTTTTTCTTTTACATTTTTACCTAACGATCGAGATTTTGGAGTTATAAAAAAAAAATAAGAAAGCATGATCGTATATATATGCCAGATGAATATATTAAAATTGTGAATGAATGTAGTAAAAAGTTCAAAGTAATAAAGTTTCAGACGGATTAAGTTTACGAATTTAAAAAATAGTGGCCATCATACTACAAAAAGACATGTTTATCTGTTGAGACATTTGGAAAAAAGTTCCAAAGGACCAAAAGCAATCCTTTACCCTATCTACATCCATGAGTTTTGAATATAATACAAAATATAAGGTATTGTATTCACACATAATTTTATCGATGGGTTATCAAAACACACATTTAAACTATTAAAATTAACAACAAATAATAATGTAGCATTGCCAACAGCCAAGGTGTATAATAATAGTGCCAATAAACGCCCAAAAAACTGAAAACTTAAGACAATTTAAAGATGGTATAATTAAGGAGCATAGGTTATTTTATGAAGAAATATATAAATGGCTAACTGCTGATGAAAAAAATATGGAAGCTGAAAATGTAGAACTTCATAGGGAATATGATTACGTACCATGACAATTTTCAAAATATTATGTATTAACGTATTTTTTATTTTTGTTAAGTTTTGATCAGTTGTTTTTAATAATTTAATGTTAGTTTACATTTTTTTATTGTATTTTGATTTTTATCAAGTTTCATTCAAAAATGCTCTTGTATTGTAACATTTTATCAAGTTAAAAAATTTAGTTTTTGTTTTTAAGAAAAAAGAAATATTTCATTTTTTGTAAAATAATATGTATTATGAAATGTGCAATGGTTTATTTTATATTGTGTTTTGATAAATTTCAATCAGTTGTTTTTAAATTTTGTTATTTTTTGTAAAGTTAAAAAAAGTTAAGTTTTGTTTATTTAAAATAAAAATTATTTTATTTTAAAAAAATTATTTCAGCTAGTGTAAAAATATTATTAACATTACTGTGTTTATCTATTTTATTTTATTTCTTGACTTAGATTGTATATTATAAATTTCTATTGACTGCAAAAACAACGTAAGTGAAATATGTTTATAACTGAATTTTATGCATTTTGGTAAAAGTTAGACTATTTAAAACTATGGATTATGAATATCAGAGACCTGAAAAATAAATTTGTAAATCGGTGTAAGTGAAAAAAAAATCGAATTTCTGGAGTAATTGAGTTTTTTTTTTGGTTCTTGAAAAATTTGAATTTAATGACTTATGTCGTTTTTGAAATGACCGATTCAATTTAACATATGTTTAAAGATCACAATAATTCCGGAACATTTTTACAACTTAACTCGAAAAACTGACTTTTGTAAAAATGTTGCTATTTTGAATCCCACCTATGGGCAAGTAAATGATCAGATTATCCAAATTTATATCAAATGAAAGTGAAATATATATGGTTTCAATACAAAAAGCATTATTTTTATTTTTCAGTAAGTTATGGGAGTTTTAAGTATCAAAATAACATTGATATTTTACACGAAAATTACATTTTTTGTTAAATTTCGACGGTCATTTTCACTTGGTCGTCGGGACAAAATTTATTTTGGCAATTTTTAGAAAAAAAAAAATGTCGAAATTTACCGATTTTAAAAATTGTAATTTTTTGGGGGATTTTTAAAATTTACAAAGAAAGAGGTCATATTTCAATTTTTGAGGGTAATGCTTTGAAAAAATAATTCCTATTTTTGGTTCTACTTCAACTGCCATTCACACGTAGAAAATAGGTTGTCGTGAAATCGTCAGTGGGGCAACGAGCTTCAAAAATTGGTATTAAATCATAGAGCTAAAAAATATATTCCTAAAATTAATATTATTTTTATTTTTGTCCATTAGACATATAAAAAGTCATTTACATAATATAAACATAAGGTTATTTCTTTTAAAGACATTTTGACAGAAATATATAGCTATTCAATTTATTAATAAAAGAAAAATGTATTATTCTAGGTTTTAAGTTTAAAATTAGTCATCGTTATCATCATTACTATCTTTGACATATTGAACAGAGACCCCGACATCTGGTGATTTTAGTAATGCGAGTGCTTCAATTGGCATTAATTGTGTTTTTTTCTTGGGCAGTTTTCTTTTACTTGAAATTACTGAATCTGAACTTAATAAAAACAAATTTAATATATCTAAATTAATTTTTTCACGACAACATTTCCTTAAGTTATGCTCCCGATATCTCTTTAAATCTTTATTTCGTGCTACTTGGGCTTCTTCAGTCAACTGTCCTATTGGCAATAAAGCAAATTCAATTATCTCTGGCGCATGAATAAAAAACTCGTGCATCGTGGGTGACATATTGTACTACAGATACTTCTAAACAAAATATTTTTCAGTTTTATACATTTACATATACATTTACGGAGAACGAGGTAAAAATGTACAATTTTTGGGGGTAATGTCTTCAACCAAATGCGATTTGTGATCTTCTGACGTATCGTTTAGAAAAATTGGAACAGTGAGAGCTGAAAAAAATTAATGACAGACACAAAAAAAAAATAAATAAATACATCACGTTAAAATTAATACTTTCTCAGCTTCGCATCAAAGCTAAAAAAACTAAAGGAATAAATTAGTACCTACGTATATTTTTTAGAAATGAATATTATGCAAAACATTACAATGTCAGAATAAAAATTTTAAATATTATTCTATAATAGAAAAAAGTAGAAAAAAAAATCAGTAACCAATTTTGGTAAATACCTACATATAAAAATATGATAGCAATTATAGTAATATAATTTATGAAGTATTTAAAAAATTAAAAATATATCAACAAACGTGTTAGGTTCTATTAATATAATAATTATTTATATCACCTTAAATTTTTATTTCCATCAGTTTATAACCCTTAATATAATAATTCTTTTAGTTACGTGTGTAGTTATTAATTAATCATACGTTTTTTATGCTTAAATTAAAAATGGATTAATTAAACTTTTGAATAATCCAAAATCCAACAAATAACAATAATCATGCCGGTCGACCGTGCTCCAAAAACTTACATTACCAAGAATTTTATAATACTACCATGTATTATAAAATTCTTATAATTTTATAATTTAAGTTCTTCATAAATTATTATTTTTTTTAACAATTTTTAAATTTTGACCTTTTGAATAAATTTCTTAAATTAACGCTTTTCATACATCAGTACTCAAAATTAAAGTGTCCCCTCGATATTTTGGGATTCGATCTAGAGGACGCTAGATTGTAATCTATAAGACTACGTCCCCCTCCTTCCATCCTCTTTTTAATCACTGGTTATGTCATATTAATGATCTGTTTACATGGTGCGTAAACACATTGATTGTTTTGTAGTATTTTTTTTTTTAATTTTTTTGCTTTTGAATTACAATAACAATATAAATTATAATATTTATTGGATTTTTTTTTAAATAATTATTTGTATGTTTTTTATTGGCTATTTTTTTTTAATTTACGATTTATCATTCATTAATTACTTTTATACTTCAATTTTACACCTTATAAGGGTGTTAACTTTATTCTTTTCATTTATGTCAATACAGATCTACATTAGGATTAAGTAAATTCTTAATAAGTTAGCAATAAAAGGTTGCATTTCATTCTTTGTAACTAACGAGATGTTTTAATAAAAAAGTTTCTTATTATTTAATAACTAGAACAAAATGTATGTAAATTTTTACTTAAAATAATTATTTAAAGTAATAAAATTAAGTCACGCTCTTAAAATGAGTTATAAATACGTACTTACTATATTGGCATCATTTAAAGTTTGCTCTTAAGACTACATATAATTATATAAAATTTGCAAAATACAACAATTTGTCTTGTACAAGATAATTTTTTGATTGCAAAATTGTTTTATCAATTGTTTTCTATAATTTTTATAATTACATAAATAATCATATTTATTAATAAAAATAAGTTATGTTAAACAAACCCAAAATGGAACCTTGCGGACATAATTATTTAAGGACTGTAGTATAGGCCAATAATATAACATTAATGTTGCACGAATACGATGGTTAGTATTTTTTCATTAGCTACGGCAAAGTTAGTAAACCTGAGAAATTGTTGTGTATGTTCATGTACGTTAGGTAATCACGAACATAAAATCTCACTACGTATTCATACACATACGATAAACGTACGGTTGGCCAACCTGCCGGTCCGTTTGAACGGCCGGTTTTCTTTTGAAAAACACCGGCGTCGGCCTGAGGCAACCATGCCGGCATGCTTTAGTGTGTTACCGGCCGGCGTACGCGTATGACGTGATGTTCCGTGCGCGCGTGTATCTTACGATCATTTTTATCGCTGCAGAAAACTACCACTTCTATTTTACTGCTTAATGCGATTTCACGCGTACAGTGTGCATTTTATGATATCGTTAATATTTTTATCAGTGCGATGTCTTTTAACCGTTGTTTAAACCATCTCATAAACTCTTCGTGTCAGTGATTCAAGTGTTTTTGGTTAAATTTCTGGACAACTTTTACTTGTTAATATGCCGTTCGTTCAACGTTCTGTCCAACCTGTCCGCTTGAGCAGGGTTAAATTGCACGATGATAATGGCGCACCGACTGTGAATGACCGAGAGCTTGACGCAGTCACAAATTTTACGCTGAGTAATGCCCTCAGACAAATGGCATCCGTAGCCACGCTTGCCGATGAAGTTTTTCGTGATCTACGAAGCCAACTCTTGGATGTGGCCACTAGATCAGCCAATCTCAAGTGCCGAGTGAAAGCTCTTGGAGAACTTGTAGATAGAACAGATCCAAAAGCCGTTACAGTCCGTAAGTGTTCATATAAACTTAACCTTAAATTGCTTTTGCGTACTTTATATTATAATTGTAGTTCTATTAATCCTTTCCTGGATTCGGATTATTTTGTTTTTTTTTTCTTGTAGTTTTAGTGGATCATTTATTAGCTATTAGTGAAACAGAATAGGAGTCTTCTAAAACAGGAAACCTTTTTTTTGGTTAGTTGGGTTTTACCCTTAAGGTTTTCATCAACTCAAATGACTATTGAGTACATTGTAGACCCATATGGCACACCATATTAAATAGTCTAAAATAGAGCTCACTCACACGTCATTAGTGTGAAAATATTTGTGCTAGGCAGAGATTTTCGAGAGAAAGAAATGTACATGTTCGTTATAAAGTAGTAAATCTTCAATAACTTATATTCATTTTATTCTATTGCTTTGATATAATGAATCAATAAATTTGTTTTTTTGGAATTTTGATGCAAAATGAATATAGCATTAAATAGATATAATAAAGTTGTGTAAACTGCCCAATAATAGTCCGACATATTAATCTTGATTAGATTGCGATAAAATCGCTTAGTAAATTGCTGAATAATTAATCGTATAGTTTCAAAATAACACTAAAATGTATTATTAAGGAAAATAACATTTATTTTCAAATGAATAATTAATTAATATTATTTATAAAAAATTAATATTGGAACGGAAACTATAGTAAAATATTGACTTCGATATAAAATCTCACTAACAGGTAGGTAAAAAGAAGTAGTAATAGCTACATTGATAATTAATGTAGGAAAATTTACTGAATAATTGAAACTAATTGGAGTGAGTCCTAATAAAATAAATTCCTCGGTTTACCACTCGTAAATTAGCCTTGGATATTTATGCTGTGAACGCTTTATGCATAACGTCGGTTAAAATGATACCAAACGCATTTTATGTGTTCCTTCTATTTTATTATTATTTTTAACTGTACACTGGCTGTATACAGGTTTATGAGAGCGCGATAACCGTCAACAGCGTGCAGCTGGTGTCGATTATTAAAAAACAGCAGGGCTAACGCGGATACTATAAAACGGGGTTGACTGCTAAAAAAACCGGATTCTCGAGTATAGGGTTTGTGACACCCCTTGAGACCGCTGTTTAACGGACAAACGGACTGATGATCGTGTAGTTGTTCTGAATTTGTAATTAGATAAATCTGGAACACAATTTCCATAAAGAGAAATCGACGGAGAGGGAGCTGCAGTCATTCATTGCTCTTTAAACATAGTTCACACGTTTTGAAATAATTGTTGGATTTTGATTTTCAATTAATTGTAAATTTATAATTGCTAATAGCCGTTCAGATATTAGAGTAATTATAGTTATAGTCACAATTACAAATGATAGACCACATTCAAGTAAAATTCTCATGTGCCCAATAGTTGTTTTTAAGTAAACTTAAATGAGTCATTCAGCTGCCGTCAAAAATGAAAGATAAACGCTACCAGCTGGCATGCATTCAACTTATTGGATTATTTTTCAATATTGTTTCATTAGCAGACGTGTATGAGCGGTAAACTTAAAAACTATGATGACGACTACCCGACTCCTCTTGATACTGCGAAGTCACATATGCGTTAATCAAATAGATATCACTTAATTCTTCACTACTTTTTACACTACTGAGTATAAACTTGAAGCATTTTTCACGTACAACGTAGTAAACAATATGTATTTTTTAACTGTCAGCCTTCTGATTTCACCTTTCAAGGAAACAACAAAATTAAAAGTAGTTAAGTAATTTCTATTCATAAAATTCTATTCAATAAACACGATTTGATTGGTTTATAAGTGACTACATGACGCAACCGTTTGTGTTTTTCTAATAATTATAAAATGTATACCTTTAACGAACCAATGCACGTGTCTTTTTTTTTTTTTTTTTTGTTTCAGTAGCTAATCATCGTAGCCGTATCAATATGGTATTATGCCAACCGACGTATTTCGCTAAAAAATACAATAAATAAAACTCACGTCTATAATGACACATGTCTTATTCATATTAGTCGGCGTATGGCGCATTACGGTTTTTGTCAATGGAAAACTGACATTTATAAACTCAAAAATAGTCTATACGTAAATATGTGGGTCAAAATTATCCTGTATATTATAAAGGCCGTATTCAAATTCAATTTTATAAACAAAACAAGCTCATTAGACAGAGCTGTTTTTAGGTGTGTTCAGGCAAACAAAGGGGTGCGATTTCCAAAGTTTAAATGACTGAAAATTATTTTTAAAACAATAAAGAGCACGTATATACTCGATGTACACAGAAGTTTCCACCATTGAAAAGGGCGTATCATAACAGCGTGTCGCTAGAACAATATTTTCAGTCTGTTCAGGACAATAACACGAGATCCTCATAACCCTAAATATATTACCAATAGTGAAAAATACCTATAAGCTTAGTTAAAAATAATTTGATGCCAATTAAAAATTGCATTGATTAATTTTAAATAGACTCGAAATAACTATTTATATCAATAAATCATTGACAATTGATTAATGTTTGATTATTAGATAAACTGTTATTTTTGTTGCTTCACAAATTGTTACCCTCCTTAACAAAATTTGAAGAGTTAATTAACAAAAAAGTTTGTTGTGGTCAAAATACTTGTATTGATAGACATTTACCCGTTTCTGTTGTGTTCAACTGCCAGATAGACATCTCGGGTAGTTTTAGATCCTAAACGCGTCATAAAAAACTTTTAATCTAAACAACATCATGAAAATATTTTTCGTCATTAACATTCATTCATATACAGGTTTTACTTAAATTATATTTTCTTTATCGTCCATTAGCTCGAGACTTGTGAGTAAACCACAGCCCGACGATTATACTTAATGCTTTCAAATACTAATCGTTTGTTCCGTCCAGTAATCTGTGCGACGGCGTCGACGTTGAGAAAAAAACACTTCGATATATTTACATTTTATGTCTTGACTAGGTACATAATAATGATAATCAAGGTGTATACTCTTGATAACTTCGCGTCAATGTGTGTGGGCAGCATTCGTCGTTTATTATCTTGTCTAAAGATTGATCATTCGATGTGAGTAATATTCAACTGCACACATTGAAGGAATGCTACTCAACGTTTTTTACTCCGTTTCCTCTTGATCGGTAGAAGAAGCCATATGCAACCGATGCTGGGAAACCATATTTGAACACCCGAGTGACTGGTGAGCTCTATTTAATAATTTTATCGACGTATGGATGCATAATGTGTTCTATTTTGCCCTTACTATGATGGCGCCTCGTAGAAATGATTGGGTTTCAACGAATTCTACAGCAAGACGTGGTCATTTTACCCTCTACTATCAGCCCCATAAAGAACACCATGTGTATAGTATAAATGACATGATACGACACGTTTGTTTGTGGAAACCTTTGTAAATTAAAGGTCTTTGCGTGTTGTTTTTGTCACTGTTTATTAAGAGGGAATCGACAAAGAGACGTAATGAAAGTATTCAATAACAAATTAAAGTTATATGATTCCCAAGTTAACAATTACTTAATGACGACTGCAGGAAAATATGATTTGTAAAATTTTATGTCGACTCTAGAGAAACCTTTTAAATTATATGAAATAATATTTCAAAATATTTTCAATTAGTCTAACAATATGACTACACTTAAAGTGTATCAACATATCATATGAAATACATTAAATGGATAGTCTATTTATTAATTAAAAAAAAATATAAATTGAATTTAATAGTAGAATCCCTCGTGGTATTTAAAAATAAGGGTGGCATATTATATTAATAATATTCCTTTTACAATTAGAGGAAAATAAAAATATTAAGTTTATCATTGATCAAAATAAGATGGTTTATTGTTTCCGCTATGTTGCGTAGCCATGTCAACCGGAAGTTAATCAAACAAACATATTGTGTCCGTTTCACAGTTACCATTTAAATTTCTACACTTTTTAGATTTATTTTAAATTATTTTGATTTAATATTTAAAGTAAAATTCGTAATCTCTTTTTTTTTTCTTGGGGTCAATTTTATTACTACAAAATTACACCAATAAAATGTCGTAAAACACCTAAACTATTTTACCTGATCGATGTTAAAAACAAATATTATTCTCAACGGACATGAAAAAAAAAAAATAATTTTAAACTCACTGTGACGACCAGCTGAACAAATATTGAATTAAATACAATACTAAAAATCGACATCTGTGTTCTGTTAGACGTTATGAAGCGTTACACGGTACATTTTTATAAGCTATAGCTAGCAAATTCAGACTATTTTAATGAGGTGGACTTAAAAAGAAATTCATCACAATTATTTAGACGTATCTGGGACAAAGCATTGTTTATAGTCATACTGCTGCCTCGGTCTTTGATTATTATTCTTTCATAACTAAATTATTTTTTTTTTACTTTGAGTTGTATTAATTTATTATTTCCATTGCACGCAATGTATCTGTCAATGATGGTCGAAAGGCGCCCATACGCCGGCTGATGCATGGAAACAATATACTTTATCAATAAATAGCGTATACCGGTAGTAATTTGTAAGGCAAAAGAAGCGTTGTCTCTTTTTTGGCGTTAGGCTCATTACACGATTTCAGTTATGTATTTCAGTGTCACGGTAACAGCCGTCTCCTCCCCTTCTAGTATTATTGTATTCAATTTTTCCCGCTGAGTCTTCTCTGACACAATCGGTCGCCTTCAAAGCCGTTTAAACATCGTGCGGGGGCGACCACGACCGATAGCGCCGTCATCAACCGGGTTCATTGGGATCTGTCTTCATTCTTGGAGTATGATATGAGCCGCCTTTTTTAAGCAGTCCATCTTTAACATTCCACCGTTGCCGCGGTCAGATAAGAAACAAACTGAGAGAGAATTACGAATACCCTATTCTAGTGTCTGACAGAGGAATATTGTTTTACCGCGAAAAAATACCAACTTCTCTGGTCGCTCGTGAAACCCGAAACTCAACGGCCGTTAACCGACGAGG